TTTCTTTGGAGTGGAAGATTTCCATACATCCCCTCCCCATTTCACCTACCCCTCCCCCGCCGCCCCAAGCCAAACCAAGCTCAGCAACAAAAGAAAATAGCAAAGTCTATGAGCTTGCTGAAATTTACCCTTGTTTTGGGCGGACATCTTACTGCTCACGGTGGATATCCTCCATAACATGAATCGCAGCACAGCTCTACACCACACCGACCCTTGTTTGCAAATATGGCGAATAACAATAAAATCCTTCTCGTTTTATGAAGGTACCTTTACACATACATACATACATACATATATACATATATATATATGTATGTATTGAAAGCAAAATAGAACGGAATACGCTTATGGTCATGGCAGAAGTTGTTGTTAGGAAAATTCAGAGCCATACTACAGTGCAATAAAAGAAAATGACTGCTGTAACCGTTTATGGGGTGTAAAACGCTGCAGGGCTGAAGACAAAACTTAGGGAGCCGGCAAGAAGTTTACAGATGTGCAGAACTGCGGGAGGAAAAAAAAATTCTTTCGACTTCACCTTAAAAAAAAAAAAAAAAAAAAAGGAAATAATTCCGAGGTAAGATTTGATGAGTTCTAATTAGCAAAAGGGAGCCCGTTCTGGCGTGCACACACACAAAACCCCCCCTAATTGATCCCCGAGCCAGTATTTGGGGATGCTGGGACGCCCTCTGTTGTTGCAGACAGAGGCAACTTCAAAGAATCAGCATTAAGAGTGTGTAATAAATGACGGGTCTGCAAACTGTCTGGAATTCGGCTCTTAATGAGTTTACAACTGTCCAGCCACAATTAAGATTTTCTACAAAAGCCTTTTCATTTGTTTTGTCTGGCTGTTTTAGATAAAGCGGGAGAGCGGAAATAACAACCTTTTATTGGCCTTCCCGTGCTTAAATCCAGGCTGGGAGGCGGACATTTATCTTGCCGCGGGCTGGCGGGCCGGGGCGCGGGCCGCGCCGGGCCGGGCCGGGCGGCGGCGGCGCCGCAGTGGCGGCCGGCAGGCGGCAGGTGGCGCTGTGAGCCCGCGAAACGGAGCCCGGCCGCCCTCCGCCATCAAGCGCTCGGCCGCCTCCCGACAGCTCCTAAAATGTCGACACTATGGGAGCATAACTGGGCTCGGGAGCGCTGAGGTGGTTTTGACAAAGGCCGGCGGGTTTGAGGGTGCTTTTTGACCCCATTTATCCCCGAGTTTTTTCCCGCCTTATCCCGCCGAGCGGGCGCCGTCAGGGTGGCGTTTGCCGCCCGGCCACGCTCAGGGCACTCGTGGAGAAAGTGAAGCTTGATCTGCACCAAGGACACACAGTGCATTTATTATTCTCAAAATACCGAGACATTTCCTATTATGTGATAGAGACGGATTGAGCCCTGGCACCCAACTGCCAGCTCCTTTTTTTCTCCCTTGCCCCGAACCTTTGCTCTCCTCTGCTTAAGCTCCGAGCCTGCAAACAGGGTATCCTGATTTCCCGAAGGGCTGGTGTGAAATGTAATATTGGGAGAAAGGGGGAACAGAAGGGTTCGGGCAGGATGTAAGAGGGTTTCCTCGGCTCAGCCTGGGAGGAGAACGCCCGAAGATCTTCACCCTTGGAGCTCTGGGGCCAACCGATGGATTTTCCAATGCCCTTGTCCGCTCTGCGCGGCTGAGACAGCCGTGCGGGGAACCGGCAGTGCTGCAAAAATCTAGTTGGAAAATTATTTACCGGCCGGTGAAATTCTTCAACAGCTGTCTTTGATACAAATAAAAAGCCCTGCTTGTGTCCGAAGCAATTTCAGCTCTGTGGGACTCGTTGTGATTATATTACACAGATGTGAGAAGGCTGATGCTCTGCAAACTTGACGTGTCTCTCAAAGTCATTCCTAACTTGTTCTCGCTGCCTATTTTGTTTCCTCAAATAGTTTTCTTTTTTTTTCCCCTATTTTTTCTTTCTTTTTTTTTTTTTTTATTTTCTCTTTCTTTTTTTTTTTTTTCCTCTGTTTTTTTTCTTTTTTTGCCGCTTTGCTTTTGTTGGCTCCCGCGTCTTGAGAATGAGGCTTAGTGTGGAGTTGTGGAATATTTTCAGATGGCAATTGCCAAAAGAGACGGAGGAAAAAAGTAATTGGAAAGAAAATAAATGCAGGAGGAAAGGAAGCATAAAATATGGGCTGAAATATAAACGTTGTATTTCGTAAGTTTAAGCCAGGCAACTAAACAAATCCCTGCATAGTCCTCTGTAACAGAGCTACTTTCTCTGCATCTTACTTACATTTCCTTTAATCAAAGCCATTCTCCTTATATCGAAATTCAGCACTGGGAATGCAGTGAGCTAGTTTTTTTTTCCCGCACTGATTCAAAGATTTAATACTTTCTAGGGATAAGGATCAACAGCCACTCCCTGCTTTCTAACAAGAGCCTTCCTATCAAATGTTTGTCTACAATGGCATTGCTAAACTTATTATGAGTAATTATTTTTTTCCTTGGGCAGTAAAATTATATTGAAATTAAAAAGTGTTTATGCATCGTCATACTAAGTAATAACTTGGCACAGCGTGTTCCATTATAATCGTGGATAAATTATGGCGAGAACAGATTCCAAACCAGCAAAATCTTCTCTACTATGAACCACATCAAGATACTGCTTAGTACACAAGCCATAATCATGTAGTGCTCCCAGGTCGCTTATAACTTACGAGCACCGTTTTATCACTACATTTTACTTCCCGGAAAGCTCAGTGCCAAAGAGGGGTAGTCCAGAGCTTACAAGGAAAAAAAAAAAATACAATTAATCCATCCTAGAGGATTTTTTTTAAAGCGTGCGAGAATATTACCATGACCAAAACCTTGAAATCTGCGCCTGTTCACCCTTTCTCGATTGGAAAAAAAATAAATTCAAATGCAAAGCGGATTTACAGGCACGATAATCCACCCTGATCCTGTAAACGACAAAACGGGAGATTTCAGAGGGTGTTTCAGAAGCAGCGTTATGCCCAGCTCGCAGAGGGTGGGGGGAGTCAACAAGGTGGCAGGGACCCATGTCTATGGGTCCTTCTAGCATTTATTCAGTGAAGGCTTTCTGATAAATCTAAACGGCTGGCGGGGGAAAATAAGCTGCAAGCAAAATACGTTTTTAAAAACCGTGGCGGCGACAAACACACGTAAGCAAAGAAAAATACATAAACGTGCAAATTGTAGAGAATCAGAGAGCTCGAAATGCAACCACCCAGACAATCTATTCGGTCCTACGCTATCCATATTTAAGTCTAAACATTGGTTATATTTGCTGCTTCTTTTTTCTTGCATCTTGGTATGTTGTCACCAGAGGAGCAATTTATTGGTCTAATGCCATCTACTTCAGCCTCTTTGATCTTCTTGGTCGTCGTTTTGTTTGCATCGCATTCGTTTAAGTTCTTGGGCCTCTATTCCCTTCCAGCAGCCTCTTCTGCCGGCATGCTCCCGCACCGCGGTTGCGACCGCAGGGATATTGTCTAATATTGGTGAATTGGAAGAAATAGCCGAAGGGGCTCTTTCGGCGCCTTCTCCCTTAATGCCTGCGAATAATAACTGCGTTTTCACATACTTAACACTTGGCAAACATTTACATACATCCACCACATCTGCATGCTCCGAAGCACCAGTATCTCAGGGATCTGGTGATTTCAAGAACTGACTTGCTTCTGTCAGTAACCTGTGTTCATGGGGCTGCAATAACCACGCATAAAGGGTGCCAAAGGGTGCGCGGGTGGGTGTTGGAGGTGTGCAGGGAGGGGGGAGAGGGTGCTCCACGTTTACAAACCACAAAGTTTAGGGTCCGTGCGAAATATCGGCAAGAACAATTTTAACTGGTGAGAAAGTCTTTGTACACGGGGCACCAAACTATAATTGAAAGGAGAATTTCCGGGGCAATTCCATTGTGCTTCTTCCAGTTTATGATGTGCAATACAGGCAGGCAGTAAAAGCTGTCTTTACCAGGACTCCCTGTCTGAGGGAAGGAAACTCATTTTACGATCCGTTTAAAGGAAGGGCACGGAGCAGCATCCTCAATGGAGAGCCATTCGCATTGTTGGGGACCCCAGTGTTTAGAAAAGCAGCAACTCTCCCCGTACCGCTGCCGCCTAACGCTCTGGACTGCAAGGTATGGAGGGCGGAAAGGTAACTCGGGCAGGAAAGAGGCGGCGGCGACTTGAAGCTATTTGCAGGCGATTTCTTCAACTCTTAGACTTTCGGTTTATTCTGTATTTTCTTCCTGAGACATTCAGAAAGTTGAGTCCTCAATTTTTATTTGTTTTTTGGGCCATTATTTGTAGACGGTGCTAGGGTGTTTTTGTGCGTTCTGTTGTTGGGTGGGACTTTTTTGTTTAGTTGGATGTCGTTGTTTGTTTAGGGGTTTGGGGTGTGTTTTTTCAGGTTTTTTTCCTCCTTTATTTTCCCGGGGAGGACGACTGTGATTCTCGCCCCACTGGGGGGCTGGCTGCTGGGAAGCGCCTTGCTTGCCGAGGCTGTGGGGAGCGGCGGGGTGCCCTGGCACACCCTGCGCAGGTTTGCCGCCTGCTTCTTGCCATTACAGCGCGCAAACAACGCGGGGTGTGTGAGGGGGGGCGGAGAGGAGCCACCTCCTTTAAACCGGGCGCACACAGATAACTCCACGCGTACACATTTAAAGCTCTAAAACCTGATTTCTCCCAGCGCCCCGCCGTCCGGCAGCGCCCGGGCGGGGCGCGGTGTCCCCGGGGCCGGGCGGGCGGCGCTGAGGGCGCTGTCGGCGGCTGAGGGCGCTGGCGGGCGGGCGGCCCCGGCCCGTCCATGGCCGGGCACCGTCGGGCCCCGGCCGGCACCACCTGTGAGGCGGGCGGGGATTGGCGGGCGGCGTCACATGACCGGTCACGTGCTGCGGGCAGCTCGGTCCAAAAGAAAATGGGGTTTGGTGTAAATCTGGGGGTGTAATGTTATCATATATCACGCTACCTCGTAAAACCGACACTGAAGCCTGCCGGACAACAAATCACAGGTCAAAATTATGAGCTCTTCGTATTATGTGAATGCGCTTTTTAGCAAATATACGGCGGGGGCTTCTCTTTTCCAAAATGCGGAGCCTACTTCTTGCTCCTTTGCAAGCAACTCCCAGAGAAGCGGCTATGGACCAGGCGCGGGTGCCTTCGCCTCCTCCATGCCCGGCTTGTACAATGTGAACAGTACCATATATCAAAGCCCGTTCTCTTCCGGATACAGCCTGGGCTCTGATGCCTACAACCTGCATTGTTCCTCTTTTGATCAGAACATTCCCGTCCTCTGCAATGAGCTAACCAAACCCAGCTGTGAGAAAGCGGAGGAAAGCAACCTGCACAACCAGGCTGAGCCTAATTTCCGGATATACCCCTGGATGAGGTCTTCAGGTAGGGGCGAGCGGAGAGGGCTCGGAGCTGTGGCAGCCAGGCAAAGCGTGTCGCCAGGATTACTGTCAGCACAGCCTTTATGGTTTTAATTATAGCCGAGGCGCCATTGCGTAGAAAGCCCGTGGCATTGTATGTAAATGAGTATCATAAAACTTTTTATTGCCCAATTAATGGGTTCTAGCCTCGTAAATTTATTTAACTCCATTTGCTATGGAATTTTTAGCATTGAGTTGATTTGCGCTGTTTGCTATGAAAAAGCGGAGAGCTGGCTGCGGGCTCCCGGAGCCCCCACGGATTAAGCTTCTCCTCTGCCCTCTTGTCGAAGTTGGGGGGAAAAAAAAAAATCCCGCTGGCTGGGCGAGGCGGAGGGGACAGAGGCGTTCGGGAGCGAGGGACGGCGTGTCGAGGGCTCTGCCAGCTCGCGTTGCCGAGACGTGCCACTCTCGTCCCCCCTGCCCTTTCCACGGAGATAAGAATCTATAGAAATGTACTAAACAGGAAAGCGGAGGGGGGAGGGGGGCACTGGGGCACGAGAGTGTGTGTGTGAAAAAGGAGAGCTCTCTTCTGGAGCTAAATGCTATGTATTGTTTACGATCCAGGCGGGATGGGTGGGGGGAGCCCACGACATTAAAATAAAATAAATACAGCCCAGCCTTCCAGCTTTTTATTTCCCCTTGCGAAACGTGAAAGTCTGGAAGGTTTTAGGGAAATACATCGCCTGGGGGAAAAGTTCCTCCTCCCAAAAGCAATTTCCTCCCCCACCTCCTCTCCTGAACGCTTTCTCTTCACTTTTTCTAGGTCTCGAGCAACTTAATTTTTTGCCCTGCCTGAGCAGGGCAGGTCGTGTGGCTGAAATGTCTTTGTTAGGGCAAAGTGGGGGGGCGGGTGGAAGTCGAAGAAGGGGATCGTTCACTCTGGCTCGGCCACTTTTCTGTTTGTATGCTTGTTTATTTATTTATTTATTTATTTATTAAAAATATCAATAAGAAAAATAAAAGGAGAAAACTTTCCACTTCTCTTCTTGTCTAACTCCTGGCCGTGTGTGTCCCTGTTTTCAGGTCCAGATAGGAAGCGAGGGCGCCAGACCTACACCCGCTACCAGACCCTGGAGCTGGAGAAGGAATTCCACTTCAATCGTTATCTGACTCGGCGGCGGAGGATAGAGATCGCCCATGCCCTCTGCCTGACGGAGAGGCAGATCAAAATCTGGTTCCAAAACCGGAGGATGAAGTGGAAGAAGGAGCACAAGGAGGAGAGCTCCAGCACCCCGGCTCCCAACGAGCCCACGTCAGCAGCAGCCTCTGTCGAGAAAGTGGAAGAAGACGAAGAGGAGGAGGACTAAGGAGTCCCACTCGAGGAAGTGATCTCTTAGAATAGTGTGTGCACATGACAGTTGGAAAAGCTCCCTTTAAAGGAGAAAAGGAAAAAAAAAAAATAGAGACTTTTTATTAAAAAAGAAATCAGTTCCCATTAATGATCATCTTGAAAGCAAGCGTTTGCAAACATGAAAACATTTCTTGGGCTGGTCTTCCAGCCTTCTCTCCACTCTCCCATACTCCCCAAACCTGCCCTGTGCCGAACCTTGCGGTATTATCTCCTAAGAGCATCTTACAATCAGCTTGGTTTTTTTTAATCCCCATTAACCCAAATCTGGGTGGGCTTCTTCAGGGGACGTTTCAGTGGGAGAACTGCTGCTTGCACAGATAGTAAACCGTGACCTTCCGAAGTAACTACCTGACTCCATAGTCCCAATCATGTGTAAGGGGAAAAGTGCATTAGGCTCACATTAAGAAAAACTACCTAATTTTGAATAAGTAGCTCTGCACTTCTCTTTTTGTTTTCTTTTTTTTTTTTTATTGTTGTTAGAAAAGTATCTTAAGTAACAGCTACACTAACAAAAGGTTAAACAGCAAATAAGGGGGGGAAAATATTCCACAAACCACTACAATCTACAGCAATTACTTGTACTACCTATTTTCCAGACTACCTACCTATATATCTTGCTCTGCCTACCTATCTTCGAAAGTATACTGTATTTTAGTAGTCAAAAGGATGTTACAAGATTACTAATGTGAATCGCAAAACGCTTTTAGACATGTAAGTGTAGTCGTTCGAAAAGCACGCATCAATAGCTTTGGTATAGAATTTGGTACCGAAAAGTCTGAATATATTTAAATTTAAAATAATATATTTATTCCAAAGCAATTATAAATGAAAACCATATGCTGCAATATATCTTTGTTCTCGATTCTTTGCTATTTCGAGAGAGGAAGCAAACACACGCCAATATTGTACAAAGCGGTTTAATATCTCCCGTTGGCTTCTACCTTCAGCTGCTTCTGCTAAAGGCCGTTTTCTTATTCTACGTTGATCTTACTTAATATAGCGGAAAGTGTTCTTTGAAAAGTGAATTTAAATGATCATGTAACCACCTTTAAAAAAAAAAAACTACCACAAACTATTTGTCCTGAGTATCTGAACGTGTTAATATGTAATACCATGAATTTTCCTACAATAGCAAGTATTGTAATTTTTTTGTCATTTATATTCGTCTTGAACCTCATTTGTAAGATCATGTCATAAATTGGGAAGTATGTAATGAATTTGGAAACTTTGTAGCATGATGTATTGTTAAGAACTCTGTATAAATCCGTCTTGAAGGTTTGGCTAAAGTTTATTCACAAATTGTATGTTACAATGTGTTTCGGTGTGTTCGTTGTGAACATTTGGATATGCCGTGTAAGTATTGGAAGTGGGAAAAAAAAAGTCTGTGAACTCTCTTTGGAAGTGATACCGTGTTCAACTATCTCCCACGATAAATGTGTTTTATGTTACACAGAAAATAAATATGCTTGTTGACAATGAATTGTGTTTCTTTATTAAGGAACAAGTTCGAGGGAAGCAACAAAAATATATTACATAGACTAATAAAGAAATTAGACCATCTAAACATTTTTTTTGGTAATCAGAAAGGGAAAAAAAACCCCAACAACAAAGTGATGAATTGATAGGAATCAGTCAATATCTCTAGCTCGACTTCGTGATTTTTTTTTCCCCTAGCGTTGTTGATTAATAAAGCGGAAAGCCTTCTTTATGGGAGAGCTTCCTTCCACCGTGTTCCCGTGTCCTCTTGCAGTCATTACCCCAGTCCAGACGATCGGCGATCAAGTCGAAATCTCATGCCGTGAAAGAATATTTTGTAATGAACAGAAAGTGAAAGACGAAACTTCCAAGTGTAAATGATCTGATGGGGCACATATGTGATTTGTGCGTGTGGCTTTCGGGGGCCAGGGGGCATCACGGTAGCACGAAAATGGGGGAAAACTGCCCCGCTTTAGTAAACGTCTTATTTTTTGCCAGGTACCACGTAGTATCAATGAGATCTAATATTACCCCCCCCCCTTTTATTTTTCTAATTAAAATATAAAAAAAATCGAACCTGAAAAGTCCTTTTATTCGGCCGGGTAAATACAGGTAAGACCTGGAGCATTAATTGCGCTGAAGTTCCCTTTTCTCTACTACACTCCGTTACTGGTCAACGCACTAATTGTAATTTTAATAAAATTAGTACAAAGTCCAGGTCTTTTAAAAAACTCCAGGGCTGCCTCTGTGGTAAGATGGCGCCTCTCTAAGACCTGCCTCTTCTTAGTGATGAGGAAAAGGCCATAAATCCGTTGTTGTTTATGAAAATTTACAACTTTGCAATACAACTTTATGAGTTGTTCGGTTTTTCCATTGGTCGTTGTCGGTCATGTGGATGGTAACCGTGAACATGAACTTTTTTATAATTTCCCTTGCGAGAATAGAGCCGCATTCTTTTGCTGAGCTCTGTCCTGCTTCGGATCTCTCTGGCTTTCAATCCCCATTTCATTTGTTCTTTGTAAGGCAATAGTGAACAAAGTGTGCTGAGGTTCGGCATAAGCAGCCGCCTAGAACACAGATCCGGGATGGCAATTTCCAGTTCCCCCGCTGGAAGGTGTGGCATATTGGATTCAAAGCACTGGCGTGGCAGATTTTCAACTTGCAACCTGGCTAATTTCCTGCTTCTTCTGGCACCAAAAGGAGGGCGATTCGTCTCCTGTGCAGCCAAAGCGACAGCTGTCAAAGTCACAGGGGCTCCTGTGAGCCAGAACCTAAAAGGTGAGAAATGTATATGACACTACCGTAAGCAGGGAAAAATGGTTTAATACGTTTAAATACTAGACATGTGCAATTAAACGAAATGGAAATGTTACCGGCCAAAAATAGAGATGGCTGCAGCTCAGCTGATTTTAACTTAGGCAGTGCATGCAAAAATATGCCTAAATAAAATGTTTGTTTTATGTGATTTAGCTAAGAAGTGGTGGATTTTTTTTTTTCACTAAATTGATTTCTTTTTGCCTTCGGCAGGGGTATGTTGTGACGTTCAGGTTATTTTCTAATAATTCAGTTTTACAGCATCAGTGGAGGGGATTTTTTTTCCCCAGCATGGGGGGGAAAAAAACGTGATATCCTCAAACATTTTTTAATATTAATTCGCAGTATTAACTCATTAGCTTAAATTTCATTTGCGGTTGAAGAAATTTAGATGTAATTTATTTTTTTACTATTTCATTAAAAAAAAAAAAAAAAAAAAAAAAAAAAAAAAAAAAAAAAAGGAAAACAACAGCCGAACAGCACAATGTCTCCTAGCTTCTCTGCCATGTCCGGGAGGTTATTTCTAGACGGGGGGAAACGGCGCGAATGTGGCTTAGATTTTCTTTATCAGATCGAGCGCTGCCTGCATAAATCCCTTGCCCGGCCGTGGGTCCGCTGCCGGCGCTTCGCGGCTTGCGCGCCTCGGGTGCGCGGAGCGGGCTTGGCGGCGGCTGAGCCCATTTCAGCGCCGGAGACGGAGCTTCCCCCGCCCTTGCTCTCCTTGTTGTGACTGTTACGGTGCGGCGCTGGGGCGGGGGAGCGGCGGCCGGCGGGCCGGTGCCCCGCCGTGTGCGCCGGCGGGGGGCAGCGAGCACCCGCGGACGGCTCCCCCGGGAGCCCCCGCCGCTGCCGCCCGGCTCCGCTCCCGCCTCCTCAAGGCGAAAGAGCGGCTCGGAAGGCTTTAAACGGCGGCCGCGGGTCCGGCTGCGCCGCCGGGCTGATAAAGCGCTGCATTTGCATGGCATTGCGGTATCCGCCGGGCTGGAGCTGCAGCGAGCGCCGATTATTTATTGCGGTGGCGGCTGCTCAGTGCTGCCACGGCGTGGCGGGACGGCGGAGGCGGGCGCCGAGCGGAGCGGCCCCCGCAGCCCCTGGAACAGCGGCGCTGGCAGCCTGCGCTGCTCGGGGAAGCCCAAATAAAAGACCAAGAGGGGACAAAAAAGAAAAAAGCGGCCTAGCTTTTTATGTGGGAGTATCGGAGCTCGCCCCCGGGCAAAATATTCCGGCAGGACCGGCTCTGCCCACTCCCCTTCCCCTCCGATTCTAGCTCGGTGTGTGCCAACTGCAAGTTACCACGGTGGGAGCCGGCTGGGGAGGACCCGCCCGCGTCCCCCCGGCCGGGCTCTCTGTACCCCGCCAGTCTAAACAACGGTTCGCCTTGCCCAAATTGTTTGGATTAGGAGCTATTAGTTAAAGGTTGGTTTTGATGACGCTGGAGAGCACGAGAATGATTTGAAAGTGGTTTTATATACGAAGAGAAGGAGGCTTTTAAGCTTAAGAGGGTAACTACTCCCGCACCTGTATCCGAAAGTGGCTGGGGTCGCGGACGCGTTTGCGGCGGGAGGAGGAAGGCGGAATGTTCTGCGGAGGAGGTGCTGGGGGTGCGTGGGATTACGAAAACAAATAAACGGGGTATGAAATACACAGGTACCGCGAAGTGTGACTTTGTCGCGGTGGCAAAATGCAGCGACTGGCTTTCTTTCTGCTTTCCAGTGTGGGGGCGGGAATGGTGAGGGAAAACTGCTGTGAAATGTGTCCAGGCCGGACATTTCCTCGGCAGACTTGGGGGGCAGCAGATTATTGTGATTCGGGGTTTTCTGGGGTAGGGGGAGGAGCGGAAAGGACGCCTGAATGTGACTGAAGCAGAGATTGCGGTGCAGATTGCTTGGCTGTCACTGTAACTACTCGAACACGACCCAGTCAGGCAAACGTGCAGATTTCATTCCTTTTCGTGTTATGGGATCGGCGAATAAATATTTTCGCTGCCTGCAATCGGGCTTTCACAACTTGGTTTGGACGCAAACAGTAACTTGAAAAACGGGAAAGAAACAAAAAGAAATGGAGGGGAGAAAATCAGACTGTAGCTCATGATACAAAATATAAATATAACTAAGCCTGGAGCGATTTTTATTTTAAAATTTGTTTTGGTGTTTGTGTGATGGATTCAAACAAAAGATCGTCTGCCCACAACTTTTTGGAAGTAAGGCCGGTGGGGTTTGTTTGTCCCGAGTATTCTTTTTTTTCATGGTGTGTTTTCGTTCTGACTTAAACTGGCGATAATATGCTCTTTTAAAAGCCTTTTCGCATTTAGCATGCTGTGTATGAGTGCTTGCTTTCTGGTGTTTCCTCCTTTTTAAACTCTATTCTCACCGAGTAAAAAACCCCTTATTTTTCCGGAGAAATCTGCTTTTCAGGAAATACATGTTTCTGAAATGACCTCTCAAAGCATGCAGCTAGTGAGCTGTAATTCTACCAGGTGTGTTTGTTGATTAGCTGGGCTGAAGAGGTTAAGGAAGTTGAAAAAAAACCCGAAGGCAATCAACATCTGAATGTGAAAGTCCAGCTGAGACTGCAAACAATACAAACTATTGTGGAGCGATGTTTTAACTCACTACTGTTTTATAGGTATCGTAATCTGCCCCCGGAAATGAGACGAATAGTCTCCCAACAACAACAAAACTCTCCTTTGAAAGCTGCTTTAGGAAACGCTGCTCGTACGAATGTCACTTTATGTGACAGAGCGCGTTTAAAATTAGTCTATTCAATCTGTTGTAATGGGCAGGGATTACGAGTAAACACATATTGGAATGAACAACCCCATGTTATCTGCAGGAACTGCAGGCTTACGGCTGAATTAAACCCGCATCAGCGAATTTCATCAGAACAGTTACTGTCCGAGCCCTGGGCCAAGAATTATATTTCCGCTATGGGGTAACTGCCATATTGAAAAAATGGAGGTGGAAATGTTTGTTTCGTGTATTGTTCTTCCCCTCTTAAAGACACAAATCGGCGTTTAATCACATTATTCCGAGCAACAACGAAACCGATTGGCTTCCGCTGAGTCACTAGAGGGGTTGTATTAATTAGGAATAGTCCTACTGGCTCGTTTTTGAATTTGAATGTTTGATACCCTCGGCTCTACTCTGGCGGGAGGAGGGTAGACTTGGGGAGAACAGACACATGGAACTTCATCTGGGCTGCCGGGGGGCGCCGGGAGCCCATGCGGCTCTTCCCGAGGCCTCCTCGGGCACTTGGTGCAAATCAAAAATCCCACTCCCCAGAAGGCCACCGCCCCAACCTCCTAATTATGGGGATGTTCATTAAGATACAAGACCTCTTCCACCGCAGGACGCGTTAGCCTCTGTCACAAAAGCTGGATTCGGCGCTGGGGCGGGCTCCCTGAGCTCCGAAGGGAAGCCTTAGTGGAGGGGCAATTTTCGACTGAATGGATAAATAAATACGTTTTAGAATAGCTTAAAAATCCTTGGATGCGGTTGTGGCATCGCGACGGCAAAATGGAGAGAGGCCGGGTCCCCCCTCGCCCCCCGGGCTGCGCGGCGCTCCGCTCCCCCTTTCACGTGCTCCCTGCGCTCCAAAGTTTCCCTTCGCAGCATCCTCCACCGCCGTCTCCTTCCCTCCCTCCTCCTTCCCTCCGCCGGAGCGCCGGGGGCGGCTCGCCCACCCTTCCCACGGGGTTGCGCGAATCCTCCTCGTGGGGGCTCCAACTTTTAAGGGCGCCCCCCTCCCCACCCGTCGGGCGGCCGGGGGGTGTCCCCGCCGCCCGCTCCCGCACCGCCCGCGCTGCCGGGAATTATCGCCGCTGCTGTTGTTGTTATTATTATTACGGGAGCACTTTCCCGCGCGGGGCGGGGGCGGTGCCGCGGCGGGGGCGCGGCCGGTGCCGCGGGGAGCGCGGCGGGCGGCGCGGGGGGCGCGGGGCGGCGCGGCGGGGCCGGGGCTGCCGGTAAGTTGGCGGCGCGGTGGCGGCGGCCCCGGGGGAGCGGGCGCCGCGCGCGCTCCCATTGGCCGCCCCGCCGTCAGCTGCTCCTATTTTCTGCTGTCGCTTTTGGCGCTCGGCCATCCAGAAACAAACCACTTCGATGACTCCTAATAGTTATCGCCAGATGTACTAATACACAACAAATCACGGTCCGGGAGAGGGGGAGAGCAAATGAGTTCCTATTTTGTGAATCCCACTTTCCCGGGGAGCCTGCCCGGGGGCCAGGACTCCTTCCTCGGGCAGATCCCCCTGTACCCGGCGGGCTATGATGCTCTCAGGCATTTTCCGGCTTCGTACGGGGCAAGCAGCCTGCAGGACAAGACTTACACCTCACCTTGTTTCTACCAACAGTCCAACACCGTCATTGCTTGCAGTCGGGCTTCCTATGAGTACGGAGCCTCTTGTTTTTATTCGGACAAGGACATTAGTAGCGCCTCTCCTTCCGGCAGTGGCAAACAGAGGGGGCCCGGGGACTACCTGCACTTTTCTCCCGATCAACAGTACAAAACCAGCGGCGGCCAAGCCAAAATTGTAAATGACGAAGGCACCGACCGGAAGTACACGAGCCCTGTTTACCCCTGGATGCAGCGGATGAACTCCTGCGCTGGTAAGGCATCTCGGTGCAGTCAAGGGCGGAGAGGGGAGGAAAAGGAAAAGTTTCTTCCTTTTTTTTTTTTTTTTTTTTTTTTGGCTAGATAAAGTCCAGATTGCTGGAGAAACACGGTTCCTGCAGGGCAATATGTAACATGAAACCTTCGCAGGTTTAGACCTGGCACGTTGGCACCCAGGGAATGGTGGCCAAGGTCCCAGTATGATGTAGGTTTACTGGTGAAAGTTACAGGGGAATCCTTGGAAAGTAGGAGAAAAAAAAAAAAAAAGGAACAAAGCACTTTTATCACTCTCTTAAAGCCATCCCAAAGCCTCTGCTCTGCTTCTTCATTGTCAGAGAGCGATGCATGGAATATGCCCTCTGTACTGAGGATCCAAAGCATTTGTGGTACATTCCTCCTCGCCCCCTCCCCCAGCTCATTAGCCTGTGAGTATTGGATATTGAGAGCACGTTTCTGGGGCCGTGGGCGCACTTCCATGGCATCGCGAATTTTTTCAGACTTAGGAGTGAACTTCACATAATTGAACTATTCTGTACAGGAGTGGTGCTGGGGGAATGGGGGGTGGGGGTGGAGTGGGAGGGTTGTACCGGGGTGACATTTATTTTTTATAATCCCCAATTTAAAGGTTTACTTCAAGTGTTCGCTAATGACTCGCCTTCTCTCCCATCCTCCCGAGTTTATGTTTGCAGCAGGGTAGGTCTCACTCCTTTTTTTGAAAATTAAACTTTTAGCAAGACCATTCCGATGCTGCTTTGCATTCAAGAGGAATAAATTCCGGAGCAAATGGCAAAACGCTCTTCTATGATCTTTAGCTGATGTCTATAATTATACTTAGAGACCTTCTGCAGTCCCAGCCATGGCAATGGCTGTGTGTTTGTGTCAACACAGCCACATGTGCGTGCACACACACACGCACAGAACATGCGTGAGGCTTCCCGGGCAGCACACGTGTGCCTGTGCCTGTGTGTGCGCACAGAGCAGCCTCTGCCCGGCCACTCGCACCGTGCTGCCTCCTGCACCTTCCCCAGGTCCACCTCAAAGCCTCTTTGTATCCCACTTACCCCGTAAGCGCACTGCACATCTGCATTTACAGCTCTTCAGGCAGGAGAAAAGGAAAAGAGAGAATTTTAAAAAAAAAAAAAAAAAAAAAAAAGGAAAAAAAGCCTCCAGGAAACCAGAGCAGCTTCCCCCACTCCCCGTGATTGTGCCTGCAAAAGGAGGCAGAATATTCTAATCGCTCTTTCTGGTCTGAAATCAGTGGGCCCTGTCCAATGCGATCGTTTTGTCTTTACTTCTACAGGTACAGTATATGGAACACATGGGAGACGAGGGAGGCAAACTTACACCAGATACCAAACGCTAGAGTTAGAGAAGGAATTTCATTTTAACAGATACTTAACCCGAAGACGACGTATTGAGATTGCAAACGCTCTCTGCCTTACTGAACGCCAGATTAAAATATGGTTTCAAAACAGGCGGATGAAGTGGAAAAAGGAAAACAAATTCATAAATTCCACACAGCCCAGCAGCGAAGAAACAGAGGAAAAGTCAGGGGAGTAGAACCACGTTTAATAAACGCTACCAGGCCTTTCCTTAGCGCTTACTACTACTACTATTATTATTATTTACCTTGTGTTCCTTCTGCTACTGAAATCCTATAGGTTTGTCACAGTCTATTAATCCCCAAAAGGCTTGGTTAAAAGATGTATATTTGCAATCATGTGTGACTTACTCTAATATATGTGGAAGCCCCAGTTTTCGAGCTACAGGCATGTATGTATGTAACCACCTTCCTAAAGCGTATATGGCGTCGGTTAAAGCATTAGAGAATTGGCCGAGAATTTAAAATGTTTGAGATTAGCATCTCAAATGGGTGAGTGGGTGGGTGTCCCTGGTGTGCTTGTGTGAGAAAAGATAAGCAAATTATTTTTTATCTTTTTTTTTTTTTTAATTAGAAATGCTTATATTGTAAAAAGACAAGAGATTTTAGAAAATACCTGGTTTATGGTTTTGCTAGCTCCCGCTACGGCGGGCCATCTCGTTATTCTGTGTTTGGGAGTTTATGATCCGCAGGGGAGAAAAAAAGTTTTAGTTATGTATAAGATATTTAAATAGCAAAAGGAAGAAATTTTCTTTTAAAAAAACGTTGTATAAACCCCTGTGTATAAACTTTCAGTTAAAGAAAAGATGAATTGCAGGGAGATTTTTTTTTTTTTAAAGCCGCTAAACTGCTTAGTCTGCACTATAGAATTAAAGTAAAAACTCGGCGTTAAACTTCAGGGGAAGCGAGAGAAGAGGTTTCGAAGCGGGCAATTTTCTGTGGTTCCCGTTGAGCTTACGCTAAGGTTTTGGTGAGCTCAGCTCTGCACTGAGGGGGCTTTGAATTATGGACTACATTTCTTGGAGCTTCGTGAGCTTAGATCGATCTTTTTTCCTTTTATCTTTCTTTCTCTCTTTCTTTCTTCCTTCCTTCCTCCCTTCCTTCCTCTCCTTCTCATTTGAAGAAAAGATCTTATTAACTTGGGGATTTTCTTTCCTGCTTCTGCGGTATCTTAATTCACATTCGCATTACTTAGCACTGGAAAAAATAAATTGATACTTTGAAGGAAAATAGCTGCCATAAAATGCTTCCACTTCGAGATTTGTAAAAGTAAAATAGGCGCAGAAAAAATATGGATTAATATATGTTATATCTCTCTATATTATATTGCGTGTGCATGAGTGTGCATGTGAAGCTGTGTACAAATGCACTTGTATACGCATCGAGGCTCTTTTGTCTGAAAGGCAGCACAATTTGGGCTACCACTAAATGTTTTAAAAGCCAGATCTGGAGAATATAATGCAAAATGGCTACCACCGCATTTAGAGGATTTTTTTCTCTCCGAGAGGCGATGAAATAACGGCAGCCGTAAAGTCGCCTGGAATCTGACCCCCTAGTCGGAAAAAACGCTGTACGATATTCATCTTTAATAGATATCTGCCATTTCACATCGGCAGGACCCGGCTGCCTCTCGAAAGCTCCGGCACGGGAATAGGTGTGGGGGAAATTATAAATCTATGTATATACTTGTAGAAGGGACATAAGCCTTGCCAGCACCCGAGAACGGATCGCATAGGATTTGTGAACCGGTGTAAAAAAGCCCCGCACGGAGGAGCAGGCAGGCACAAAGCGGAGCGCTCTCCGCACACCCGGCTCGGAGGAGCAATGCCCGCCGGCCCAGCAGCCTCGCCGCCGCTGCCGCTGCCGCTGCCGCTGCCGCTGCCGGTGCCGGTGGCGGCGAGCCCCGCTCCGCTCCGCGCCTCTCCGCGCGGCTCCGCGCCGCCGTCGGGGGCCGTCACCCCGGGCCGACCCCGCGGAGCCGCCGCCATCCCCCGCGCCGCCAGCGGGTGGCGCTGGAGGCCGGCGGACGGGCGGGCGGCGGCGGCGGCGGCGCGCACGGGAGGCGCGCCCCGGGCCGCCCGCGCCCTCCCAGCTCCCCCACCAGTGCACGAGTTTACCTCTAGAGGTCATCAGGCAGGATTTACGACTGGACAACAAAAGCACGTGATGTGAAGCCGTACCCCATATTTGGGTGCCTACGTAGGAGGGAACCAAGTACATGTCCCAGTCATTTCCATAATTCATCATAAATTGTGCAAGGGTGCTATAGACGCACAAAACGACCAAGAGCCACAAATCAAGCACACATATCAAAAAACAAATGAGCTCTTATTTTGTAAACTCATTTTGCGGTCGCTATCCAAATGGCCCGGACTACCAGTTACATAATTATGGAGATCACAGCTCGGTGAGCGAGCAATACAGGGACTCCGCCAGCATGCACTCCGGCAGGTACGGATACGGCTACAATGGCATGGACCTCAGCGTCGGGCGCTCTGCTTCCACTCACTTTGGTGCCAATGAGAGACCCCGCAGTTACCCGGCCAACACCACCTCTGCCTCGACAGAGCCCAGGTACAACCAGCCCGCGACGTCTTCCCACTCGCCTCCCCCTGACCCTCTGCCCTGCACCGCCGTGGCCGGTTCGCCTGTCAGCGAGAGTCACCATGGGGTGAAAAACTCCCTCGCCAACTCCACCAGCACTTCGTCCAATTCCAGCAGCAACACGCACATCAGCAGAGACGGGGTTGGCACCTCGTCTGGGACTGAGGAAGACACTCCAGCAAGCAGCGAGCAGGCAAGTGCCCCGACCGACCAAAGCACAGCCCAGCCTTCACAGCCCCAGATCTACCCCTGGATGCGAAAACTGCACATAAGTCATGGTAAAGCAAATACCCTGTTCTTTCTTTATTTCTCTGGAGGAAAAGGAGCATTTAATGTAAACCGGGTGGCTGCGCCGAGCAAGGTCGGGGAGAGGGGGAGAGGAGGGCGTGAGAGCGGGCAGTCTCCCCGCACACCACAACTCTGCTTGCAGGGAAACACGCTCCCTTCTCTGGGCGAGTCCCCCCCGAAAGGAAAAAAAAAAACCCTCTCGGCCCCGAAAACACCGCCCGCCTGGCTGCCAGCGCCGGCGGGGGGAGTGCAAGGCGCCTTGCCGAAGGGAGATCGGGAGCAGAGGCTGCTCCCGGCTCTCCTCTGAATGGGGGCTCTTCCAGTGGGAACGGCGCGGCTGACCCCATTTATTTTGCTTAGACATATTAAAAAGAGAATAGGAAAGGGCGAGGAGGGCAGTTTTCACTGCTGGGAAGCCGTGGGGGAGGGGGCAGGGCGAGTCGCCCCAAACTCGGGGTAGAGGGCTCGAGGGGCAAAGCGGGGGAGCAAAGCAACTTCCAGCCCCGGGTACCTGCCCTGCCCTCGCTGCAGGGAGAGCGGCCGGAGGCTCGCTGCCTCCCAGAGCCTTCCCCAGCTCAGCCGTGGGAAAGGGCTGCACGCTTCAGCTCTGCTCTCTCAGCTCTGAAAACCCAGCTATCAGCAGAGACATCCTCCAAATCAGCTTATCTGGGGGAGGCATGGGGGAGAACTAACCTTATAAAAAAAATTATATAAAAAAAAAAAAAAAAAGAAACTGAAAAAAAATAAATTAGAAAAATTCGAATCGCAAATCCAAGCGAAAACTTACCGAGACTACTAAATCCCCCTCCCCCAAGCCTTTCCTAAGAGGGGCTGGAGGGGGAAACTTGTTGAGCGTTTATCCAAACCAGAAACAAAACCAAAGCAGGACTGAGAATAACGGTCCTGGTTGCTGGTAGCTGCAATGAGACACGAAGGCTCCGAGAGGCTGCTGAGAATCTAAATCATGTACTTTTCTCTTCCAGACAACATAGGGGGACCAGAAGGGAAAAGGGCTCGGACTGCTTACACCCGCTATCAGACCCTGGAGCTCGAAAAGGAATTTCACTTCAATAGATACCTGACCCGCAGAAGAAGGATTGAAATAGCACATGCTCTTTGCCTCTCAGAGAGACAAATAAAGATCTGGTTCCAAAACAGGAGAATGAAATGGAAAAAGGATAATAAGCTGAAAAGTATGAGCATGGCAGCTGCAGGAGGGGCATTCCGTCCCTAAGCGTTTGATCAATTAAAAGTACTGAGCAGTATTAGCTGACCCTGCGTCGTCTCATGTCAGTACTAAGTTGACTTTCTAAAACTTCCTTGTGTTACTTCTGTGAAGAAACCCTGTTCTTGTCGCCCTTATTCATCTTTTAATCATGAGCCTGTTTATTACCATTCTCTCGCGTGTATAAGTAGATCTGCTTTTATCGTACATTTCTTTGTCTTGAATGGCTTTGTCTTGAAAAAAATAATAGATGTTTTAACTTATTTATATGAAGCGAGCTGTGTTACTTGAAGTAACTGTTAAAACAAAACAAAACTAAACAAAAAAGAACAAAAAGGAAAAAAAAGAAGTTAAAAAAAAAAAAAGGAGAGAGAGAAAGGAAACCCTCCCCCGGTTTAGTACAAATGTTATGTGTTGCACTCAACCTGCTTAACTGTGCATGTGTGGTCAAGTGTTAATGTCTGTATAGCTCCAAGCTGTTAAAAATATTTTTATTCAAACTACCTATATAATTCCTGTGTAATTAATGCTGTTGTAGAGGTGAAATGATGAAATCAACTGAACTTGTCCTACGTGTAGTGAATAGTGAATCTGTGACGAAAACTGTGATTCCAAGCAGTATGTCCTTGCTGTGCCTTTGTATATGACTCTTTGCACGAACTCTTAGAAGTGGCTCTTATTAAGCGCAGCTTCTGTGATGTATGTTTTTTGTGAACAAAGTTACAAATATAGTCAAAGTCTGGCTGTTTGAGCAAACTGTGATCAGCTTTTTTTTTTAATTATTATTATTATTATTTGTTTTTAAAAAAACCTGACTGGAAATCAACAAAAAAATAAACTTTCTATTGTAAAGTTTTTGTGATCTGATTTGTGCAAAGCAAGAAGTTGTGCTTCCTGATTTGCCTCTGAAAAAGAAAAAAAAAAATTAGCCCGTGCAGAGTTTGTTGTAATATTTTACCTGGGTCCTGCTGCACGTTGCATATGGTGGATGCTGCAATTGTCCGCTACCAGTATTTTTAATTGAAAGTTTGACCATAAGTTCTTCCTTACTTGTTTCTCGCTAGGTGGAAAGCTGCATCGCAGGACCACAATCAACACCCTTTGTGGCTGAATCAACTGTTAACTGTTTGCTGATGGTTGAAATTAAAAAAAAAAAAAAAACAAAAAAACCCCCAAAACACCACCAAAAAAAAAAAAAAACCCAAAAAACAAAAAAAAACCCTCAACCCAAACCCCAAAACATGTGCTTTGTTAAAATACGCTGCGAACTCCAGGGTGTGTTTGCATCGCTCTAGAATTTCTCCTGTGGTTTCATTAAGTATATTTTAGGACAGCCATGTCCAAGCCCTCTGCGCCTATTAGTAATCCTCTCTAGCCACATTCCCACTCTTCACCCTTTAAAGATTTTTGGTTTTCTTCGCTAGAATTAGTTTGCTATAAACGTAATGTTACTTACCCCATCAGAGCTTGAATGGTTAACTCTTCTGAGCTTCTAAGAGCAACTAAAGATTTGCACATTTACTGACTGGTTACATTGATGCCTTCCCTTAAAAGTTATAAAACAGTAAACTTTATAAGCCCCAGTTCCGGCTATATGACATTTGGGTGCCAAATGAATAGGGTTTTGTCTATGAATTAGATCGTAAAATCATCCATAGCACAGACAGATAGGCTCACTGGCTATAAAAAGTCACGTGGTGCCATTAAAGTAAGTTTTATGGTTTTGGGGAGTTGACATCCAACATTATATACCACATAACATATAATCTCACTGACGCTGGACTTCATTTGACTCTTTTGCAGGCTACGTGTGCCTCCTGGCCATTCAAATTGTCAGGTTTAGGGACAGAAGTATCCAAACCACAAGTTCTCAGTACTATGTGAAAAATGGCTCCTTGCAAGTCAAAGGTAAGTTTTGTGCACAAGTTCCTTAAAGTTTATTTGTACAGTGGGGAAGCCGAGGCTCCTGCTCGCTCTCGCTGCCTCTCGCCTCTCTTTCTTTCTCTTTCTCTTTCCCTTCCTCTCCGCCTGGAGGTTTTCAGGACGGTCCCACCGAGCCCGAGAGGCAGGATCAAGCACTAATGATCCAGGTTGCGCTGCAAATACCTCCCCCCATCCCTTCACTCGCAGCAGCTAGCTCTCTATTTTAACGATCAAATCAAAGTAAACCACAATAAGCGACTTTGGCAGAGATGGATTTTGGGGCCTAGCTTTAATCACTTTGACTACCGCAGAAGATAATTACTTCCTTTGCTCCAATAGACTCTCCAAGTTTGGAGAGGTTTTGTTTAGCAAAGAGTAGTTACTGCAGGCGATTAAAAAAAAGGGAGAAACAAAATAGATTGGGCTTGATATTATCTGGGCAGTATCTTATGGAGGCATGATAGAGTTGGAGGCGTGATGATATGGTAATAATCTTTGGATTGGTGAAATATGCTGCACATCAGAGCCAGTATTAAAATGGCACAGACTGTACTGGAGTGTTTATATACATATTTTCTGCGTTGGTTATGCAGAAAGCTTTAGCTGTGTGCATATGTACATCTGTGAGTGCGTAGTGTGTTTTGGGGATGCGCTTTTATAGCACTGCTGTAACTTTTTCCCGGTTCTATACGTAACTGCAGAAATAGAAATGTATTTAAATTATATTCATGTGTGCCTGCATGTACAAATCAGTTTGTACTTCTGTGTAAAGCCGCGCAGATGCCTATATGTGTCTAATCTTGGTGTATTCATGTACACAAAGGGTGTGTACATGTGTACACATATATATATTCCTGTGACTTCCTTCTTTTTTTTTTTTTTTTTTTTTTAAGCGAACCAATTGACTGTAACTTGTAGCATTAATACAAGAGACTACAGGTCATTAGAGTGCTGCAAATTATGAAATACGGGCTTGGTTTATTGAAGATTGTAAATATCCCCCTAGCTCTGCTCTCTCCCTTTCTGCCTTATATTGCTGGCTGCCATTGTGGGGTAGGCCCCAGCTGCGTGTTTACTTCAACATTCTTTTTATTTAAGTGGACTGTTCTCACTAGAGTGTGATTACTCAGCAATAAACTTTATGGCCGGATTTAACTTCAGTCTTTGAATTTCCAGGACTTGAATGAAAGGGTGAAAGGAACTCTATCTTTCTCTGGGTAACATTAAGGCCTGATCCTTATCCTCAGAGCTGTTACTTTGGCAAGTGATCTCGAGGGGTATAAACAGACTAGTCAGGGGCCATGGTAGAGTTCTGAGAATTGCCTATTATCTATCTATCTATCTATCTATCTATCTATCTATCTATCTATCTCTCCAAACCAGCTGTGGGTATCTCTCTCTCTACATAGGTTTGGAGTAACATTGATTCAGCAGATTGCATTGTTTTCTTTTACATGTCATAAAGTCGGGTTTGCAAAAGAATGGAGTGGTTTGATGTGAGACAGAGATGGGCTTTGTTTTATTTTGCCAGTGCTATGCCATTTGAATGTTGTGGTTTAGGCTGGTTTGGCTACTGTGAGCGAAAATGGGAGAAAGGCGCAGGGTTTTAGGAGGGTAAGGTTGTTGTGTACCTCTGCAAAGCCTGCATATTGCTGACTGATCCCTATTTTTAATTTATTAGTCTTTAAAGAAAGGGTAGTATCTAAGGTAGGTTCATCCCAAAGAGCCCAGTTTTAAAAGCATTTAATATTTAAAGTCAATCCTTGCGGAAGATAAATAGAGTCTGATGCCTTTGTGTCTGTCGATCCTTCCCGTCAGCACTAAACAAACACATCTGCATATATTTCATATTTAAAAAAATGAGAAAGGTTTTAAAAGAGCATATCCAAATGCACATTTGAAAATAATTTCCTTTTAAACAGCTGGAGATTTTATAGTACTCTACTTGACACATTTTCGTCAATAGGAATATCAGAAAGTTGTATATGATAGGCATGTATTATATTATACCATATGCCATAAAATTTTATAGTTTGAGGCAAGGCATGAAAAACCCTTAAAAGTTTGGTCTTCATTTATATATAGGTCGTTTTCCAAGGAAAACCCTTTGCTTGTAGACGGGAATTTTACCAGACACAAACAGCTCATGATTACTCAGTATTTAACAACACTGCCCTATTTGAATTAACTGGCTAATATACAAGAACGCACGGACGCCCGTTGGACTAATATTTTAGGATCCTGGATATCATCCTGGATTGTAATTTTTCATTGCCTAGAGTGAAAAGATTTGCTACTGTGTATTTTCCACATTTTTGAATGTGGCTTCTGGACCATATGCCACACAAAACAATGTACAGTCGTTCAAGAACTATGGAAAAGGAAAATATCCCTAGGTCCAGAAGCGTATGAACCCGCCTGTACTGCAAAAAACACTAACAACCAAAGAAAGTTAGCTAGAAATCACAACTTCACCCTGTTTCTGGCCCTGCCCTGTATTAAGCATCACAGTTGAAACCATTCAAACACAGAAATGCGTTAAGATTTCCTAATACGCTCTAAAATTTGAAATTCAAACGAGCCCAGACTGCCGAACTCTGCGAAAATAGTCCCAGACCCGAATTGTTTTCCGAGGGAAAATGTAATGGGAAATTATACCTGAGAATCAGGAGAGAGGTTTTATCTGCTCACCTTATTTTTCTGATGAGTTTAGGGGATTCATAAGTGCAAGGTTTTTTCTATTTTAAGAATGGCATGTTGCGTTCTGCGATTTGAAATACAGTTTACTTAATCCTTTGAAAGAAATACTTGCGTGCAGTGTCTCATGTCTAAGTGTAAAACCAATTAAAGATTAGGCAGCTCTCTTAATGTGTGGAACTGGTGACTTTGCAAGACTTAACTTTCTCTAAACCAGGAGTGTAACAATCCAATGGAAAGTCATCCGTAAATTACAGCTCTGCAGCCTTGTCTAAACTATGCAAATGCCCTAATTTCAGAACAAGGAGATTATTATTCTGCCGTTTCTTTACATGTAATAAGTGTGTATCTGTGGAAAGGTGACAATAGAGGAGTTTGCAATTTGCTCC